AAGGTAGGCTTAAGTAGTACAATTTTGTGGATTTTACTATTTTCTATAATTTTATTAATAAAATTATAAAAAATATTGTGATTTTAAAGTTTGCTTAGTCAACCTCTTTTTAGCTTATAATTAAAGTTGTAGAATACTGTCTTGCGATCAAAATGGTGGTTAAAACGTTAAAATCGGCCCAGTAGATCGCGAAATATAAGTATTTTCGTCTTTACTTCTATATGCTTTCTTCTTTATTTATAAGAAAACATATAGTCGCGAAGACAAAAATGCTTATATCTCGCGATCTACTGGGCCAAATTTAACGTTTTAACCGCTATTTTGATCGAAAGACACGCCTCTACAACTTTATTAGAAGTCAAAATAAGGTTTACTTTGGCGTTACAGACGGAAAATGCCACAATTGCGTTTTTGATATTTTTATTATAAATATATCAAAAAGGTAATTTTGGTCATTAAAGCGCGTAGAAATATAAGTCCTTCGCTTCGCTTCGGACAATTAATCCATTAGACAAATCAACATTCTGATCTTTTTTATTTTCGTCCAATATCGATTCTTCGCCCTTTTTTATCTCATTATCTCACCATATTCAGTAATCAATTTTGTAAAGGTTTTCCTATTTTTTATTAATTCATCATAATTCTCTTGTTCAACGATTTTACCTTCTTCCATACATATTATATAATCGACTTGTGGAAGATAATGTAAATGATGTGTGACAAGTAAACGTGTTTTTTTAGCAAGTGTGCCTTGAATACAGTTTGTAAACAAATATTTTCCAACATGCGGGTCAACTGCTGATATTAGATCATCTAATAATATAATATTGGCATTATAATACACAGCACTTGCGATGCTGACACGTTGTTTTTGTCTGAAAAATCAAAATAGATTTTTTTTAAAAAAAATGCCAAATATATTTTATTAATATATAACTGTAATAATTAATTAATATATAACTGTAATAATTAATAAATAATAACATACCCTCTAGATAAATTAATTCCTTTCTCTCCAATTTTAGTTAAATCACCAGCAGGCAACACTTTTAAATCTGGTTCCAGGCAACAATCTTTAATTACTTGTTGATATTTTTCTTCATTAAATGGTAATCCAAAAGTAATATTATCCCTGAGTGTAGCATTTTGAATCCACACAGTTTGAGGACAGTACCCAATGTTTTCACCAAATAAAATTTCTCCTTTAACTCTTTTCATTTCGCCAACTATTGCAGACAATAGTGAAGATTTACCAGACCCTACAGAACCAATAATGGCAATCAACTTTCCACAAGGTATTGAAATATTAATGTTATGAAGTTGAGATATTGGGAAAAGTGGATAAGAATTATTAAGATTTTCAGCCAAATCAGTAGAAATCAAAGTCATATAGGTCTCAGAAATATCATCAATTGAAACTGAAACTTTTTCATTAACAACAACAGTTGAAGTATCATTTTTCTTCTCATTATTTTTCTTTATAGTTTTTGATTCTTTTTTCTTTTTTTTGACTTATAAATAATTTCCTCTGGTGGAGCACTTTCCCAAATAAATTTACCATCAGTAACTTTAATAGCATATTTTTTATCCGGATTGATTTCCAGTAAAACTGATAATTCATCAGCCTGCAAAAATTCATTTATCTGATTAATTGCTACATAGGCATCAGTTATAGAAGCTATAGCCATTGGCATAAACAATAAAGGTAATTGGAGAAGGTTAAATAATGCCAAAGAAGAGAATACGATTCTGGTGTTGAGTGTGCCTCCTGTCAATGAGAATGTTATAAATAATAAGATACTAGCAAATACTGGAATGACCTAAAAAGAATTGAACACAAAAAGAAGAAACAAGAGATAAAGAGATAAAAAAAAATAAGCAAAGATATAATCAAATATAACTAAATATAAAATAAGAAATTACCATTGAAACACCAGTAATAACAGTTCTAATAATCAACAAAAACCTAACTATACTAATCTCTTTATTTCTTAATTTATTAAGAGCGTCAGCAAAACTATCTTCCCAAGCATAATATTTAAGAACTCTAATACCTAACAAAATCTCTTGAGTTAATTTTACTTGTTCATTAGTAATACCGGCAGCTTTAGCCCTGTTATATGCTAATAAAGACATAATCCTTCCTTGCATAGGACCCATTAACACTAAACAAGCAAAACCAGCTAATGCAGATGGACCAATATTAAGTATTAATAAACCCAATGTTATACAAATTCGAATATGAGTAGCCCAAATTATGTAAAATAACCGCATACAAAGTCAATACGTAGTATCAGTGGACATTAGATTAATGATTTTTCCATTAGTAAATAAGCTTCTAGCTTTTCCACTTAAGACTAAAGCTTTCCGATATATAGCAGTTATTAGAATAGTATGAGAAAGAAAACCGGTTTCCATTCCACAATAAAAGTAAAAGTTTTGCAAAAGATTACCACCTATTTGCATTAAAAACATGGCAATGATTAATAAATAACCAACATATGCAGGTGGTTGTATACCATTATTAAGGTTGGCAAAGTATGCTTCAGAGACAAAATTCAAAATTAACTACAGTAGAAAATATTAAGAGAAATTAATTTTATCGAGAGTGCCATACCAATCATGTGAAAATACAAGCATAATGTACCTTTAAAACCAAAGGTGAAGTAACTATTAACATATCACTAACAAATCTACAAACACCAGCCAAGCAAAATTTAGCCCATAAAACCTTATACAGAGCTTTTAATAAAGATGGTTTCTTTCCCGTTGCAATTTTTTGAGTTTCTTTTTTCCATTCAACTTCAAACTTATTGGTAATAACTTTAGCAGATCTTGCATCATCTAAAACATATAGATCATCTTTTTCCAAAGGACATTTATAACCTAAGCTCATTAAATCGTTGGCCCACCAAAAAGTAAGCACAAAAAACAAATTAGCACTTGCTTCAGGGATTTTAATGTTTGGACAAGGAGGAGAAGGTGGATTTGATTTCCAAAATATCATTATCGTATTTCAATTGAAAAGAATATTTTTGTTCAGATATTATATTAAAATTGAATCTTAAAATACAGTAGCATAAAAACAAAATCAGATCATAAATTCATAAATGACGCTAATAAAATAAACGAAATTTTTTGTGAATTTATATATATATTTTACAAATATTAGCTAACCAATTAATTTTTCTAAATAATAAGGGATTTCGGAATTAAATCTTATTTTGATAAATAAATACAGAAATAAGTGATGTACAAATTAGAGTTTTTGGTGAAACTAAATTGAGTTAGTGACTGACTATTGTAGTAAACAGCCAATTAGATTTTAGATAGTTACTGGTTTCACTAGCTCAATTTAGTTTCACTAACAACTCTTGTACAAATTATATTTATTTTTAACACATTTTTATCACAATAAAACAACTCCCTGAAACGTCAACTTGCCAAATTTGCATTTACTGCTTTGATTATCCCTTTTGATACCAAATTCGTAAAAAGTGACTTAAATTTGAATTTGGACCCACCTAGTATCGCCACCAAAATCAGTTACGTATAATGAAGCTTAAATTTATTGCCGATATTAAAATTAAAATTAATGATTAATACAATAATGACAACATTTGATTAATAACATATATAAGAATAATAATAATAATTTACATGAAAATTTTTATTTCTTTGAATTAGAGTTCCGAACCAGATACGATTTCTTCACTCGGGTCGCCCATGTGAATTGAAATCGGGTAACCCTGATAAAAACGGGTTGAATATATGTTATGCGTTGTTTATTGATTTCTGTCAATTCAGAATCATTTTGAATTTTCACTGATCAATGAATGAATTTTTTAAAACAAAGAAAATAAATTAATAAATATTGTTTATATAAAAATGAATATTTTTCTAATTAATCAGTAAAACTTCTACGATCTCAAAACAACATTCATAAGAATTAACACGCACAACATATCCAACCGATTTGACTCGGGTTACAAATCAGTGATCAGCATAGCAGGCTTTCATCGTGATTGGCCAATTTTTGTAGATCATCCCATGAAATCGTAAAAATTTCATTGGGTTTAAATCAAATCACTGCAAATAAAGAAAACTAATGTACATAAAATAATTATATTTGTAACTAAATTAATACTGACAGAAATCTTTATCATAAAATTTCATCAACTTTAAACCTAAATCTATAATCTTGTCGCAAACAAAATTTTGACAATCCAATATTTTATTAAGAATCCCAACATATTATGAATCAAAAAAAAAAAAAAATTAAATTAAAAAAAATTATAAAATAATAATTAATAATAATAATAATAATAAATACAAGAATTAATATTTAAAATTATTCTAGAACCAATAGAAAATAATTAAAACCAATTTTCAATGCTTGTTCTAATGTCAAACTGATCTTTAATTTATCTAATAATTGTTCGTTATACAGTTACAATATCACTATTGTATTTCATTTTAACTCTTCTCATGAAATATATAAGCCTTATAACTCACAACTTCGCATTATTATCTATATTATAATCAGGTTTTTTATTAGTTGAGATTACAAAGAATAAGTTTTCACAAGTAAAAAGGCAACCTAAATTGCTGATTTATTGTATTTATAGGCTAAACTTCACCGTTTAAACATACCTCTCATCTAACTTCTGAATTACTTCATGGATTACCGAATTACTTTGACAGTTGATAGAACGGAAGGTATTCTACTGATTTTTTTTGGTGTCAAGCTTTGCCAATTCGTACCCGTGGCTGCCAATCCATTTTTGTAGCTGCGAAACGTTACTCTAATAGTCTTTCATATTGTGTAACATTTCGGGTGATCATCCAATCAAATTTAATGCCCGCTATGCTTCAGTGATCCGGGTCATCCGTTTTGACCCGGGTGACCCGGTTTACTACAAACCGGTTCGGGACTCTACTTAATACAAATATTTTCTAAAATATAACACACAACTTTATTCATTTGTCGAATTACGAAACCAAAAAACTGCATTTCCAAATAAAAATATCGTATAACCGCGAAATAACGCGCAAGGATGCAATTTCAATTTTCGGCCTAAATTAAGCTTAATTCGGGCCAAAATTCAAAATAACTCCCGTGCGTTATTTCGCGGTTATACGTTAAGTCATGTTTTAAGTGCACAACACGTGTAAATGGAAGCATAAAACAGAAACGTGATGATAAATTTTAAATGATGTTCACAAGAAAAAGAAAGGCTATAAAATCCGAAGAGCTGAAATATATAGTTTATGAAAAACTTATGAAAGTAATATGTTTATGAGTCTTGAAATAGTTGTAGATATTTCCCAAACAGTTAACGAATAGAAATAATAACATGAATGAAGCTTTTGCAAGTTCATTGCATTATATTATGGGTTATTTTTTCTAAATCTAATGTTACGGTATATTAATTGATCCGTCGCTACGCTCCGGATCAATTAATTTTTATGTATTAAGTGATACAAAAATTACGTTTCTGATGCATTTCACCCCAAAAAGTTGCTTTTTTGATGCATCTGCATAAGCATTATGAAGATCATATCAGAAACGTAATTTGGAAATTTTTTGTCTGTCCGCACGCGTGTTCAAATTTGTTAAATTAGTGTAACAAAATATGCATATGCTCCGGATCTAACAATGCTACGCATTTTCCTAGTTTAGATACAATGCAATTCCCAATATCTTCTCACATTACGGAAGCTAAAGAAACTTTGTCAATTTAATGATCGATCTGGTAAATTCAGAAACCAAAATATAGATAATGAAGAATCGAATGCTGAAGATAGTGAATCCGAATCCGAAAATTTACTCTTCATGAGGTATAAAAATTTTTTCATTATATTTCCATGTATAAATAAATTTATTTATCAATTTTATGTTTTAGCCGCTTGATTGACTTGAAAAGTCAAATAATATTTCCAAACAAAAAAAAATGGCTTGAAAGTATTGAATCGAACTTTAAACCTATTCAAAAAAATAGTAGATGACATTAAAGATTTTGAACGAGTAAAAAAGCTTGTAGCGGACATAATAAAGTACCCTTTATTAATAGCATAAAAAATTCAAATTTGAAGTTTTATATGTGTAGTAAATAAAATTTGAATTTGGATGAAAATGCATTCTATACATTTGAATTGAGTGTAATTTTACTTATAACTTGTAGCGATAATTAAATAAATTCTAATAAGTTGATTAAATATAATAATAAAAAAAAAAAAAACTTCAATTATTTCTTCAAAAATCTTGTGATCTCGTGATTCTATTATTCTTGTGCGCAGACTGAAATTTAAAAAGCGATTACGTAACTGATTTTGGTGGCGATACTAGGCGCGTTATCCATGTACTGTACGTATGTCGCAGATCAAATTTTACAGGGCTTTACAAACGGAAAATGTGTTTTTGATTTCTTCTATTATAAATACATCAAAATCGAAATTTCAGTCATCAAAGCATAGAATTATGAGTCTCCGGACAATAAAACTATTAACAAAAAAATGGCTCACAAACTCAATATTACGCTTATAAATGTTTACCTCTCTTAATGCAATACATCTCTTGGCTAAAATTTACATGTACTGTAGTCTTGTCGCATTGCATTTAGAGAGGTTGATTGTATATATTCTCTAGCTCATGTTCAGTATAAATAATCAAAAATAGTATGAACAAATATGCAACTCAAAGTTTAAGCAAATTTGAAATAATTTGAATAATACGATTGTCTAGTTAAAGGTTTTTATTGAACTAATTTGCAAGCTCCCAAACCTGCTGATAATGATAAAATTAAAAAAAGTATGTGTACAATATTTTTATATTCTGCAGCATGATGTCAAAGAAAAGACGAATTTAGTGATGTATAAGAATACTTGATTCTCAAGAATATTAGGTTAAAGTAATTTATGTTTATAACATGATTAAAAATTTTAATTTATTAATTTGTAATAACAAGAATATTAACTGTCTTTGTCTTTACAGTCAGTATATGAGGAAGGATCATAATAACGAATAAATTTTTTATTTTTTGTCGTCAATTCATCTAGTATAACAACAAAGACTACAATTAAATTTAGATTGAAAAAATTTAATATAATTTATAGCTAATACGTATGTTCCTAAACGCAAAACTTCACAAAGCATTTAAAGATAGCCTTTAAATTTCACCGAATTCTTTCAATTGTATTTATGAACTATTTGATTTCTTATCTTGTGATAGACTTTTTCTCGTTGTCTTAATGCGAACTCACTATTTGGCTCGATCTTTAATGATTTATTTAAATCTGCAAATGATTTCTTATATTCTTTCATATGATAATAAACTATCCCACGAAGTCTCAATGTATGTGCATTATTTGGTTTAATTCCCAGTGATTTATTAAAATCATCAAGTGACTCTTTATATCTTTTTAACATGAGATAGGATTCCCCACGTATACTTAGGGCTATTGCTTCATTTGGTACAAGTTCTAGATATCTATTTAAATCTGTAAGTGATTTATTATATTCTTTCATATGATAATAAACTAATCCACGTAGTCTTAATGAATGTTCATTATTTGGATTAATTTCCAATGATTTTCCGAAATCGTCAATCGATTCTTTATACCTTTCTATTATAAAAAAGCGATTTCCACGAGATAATAGCATAGTTATACCATTTGATTCATTTTCTAGGGATTTACTTAAATCTTCAAATGATTTTTCATACTCATTCATCATAAGATAAGTTGCTCCGTGACTTTTTAATGCAAATACATTATATTGCTCTACTTTGACTGATTTTTTATATCCGTTTACCATAAAATAAGTTATATCACGATTTTTTAATGTAACTTTATCGTTTGGCTCTATTTTAAGTATTTTATTTAAGTCTACAAGCGATTCTTTATATTCATTCTTGATAAAGTAAATTGCTCCACGGATTTTTAATGCAAATAGATTATTCGGTTCTATTTTAAGCAATTCATATAAATCTATAAGTGATTCATTATACATTCCCAGGATATAGTGTACCTCTCCACGTTTTCTTAATGCAAATACATTATTCGGTTCTATTTTAAGCAATTCAGATAAATCTATAAGCGATTCATTATACATCCTCAATATATAGTGTACCTCTCCACGTCGTCTTAATGCAATTATGTTATCGGGTTCTATTTTAAGCAATTCAGACAGATCTATAAGCGATTCATTATACATCTTCAATTTATAGTGTACTTCTCCACGATATCTTAGTGCAAATAAATTATTTGGATCAATTTCTAGAGATTTATTTAAATAAGTGAGTGATTTATTATAATCTTTCATATGATAATAAACAAATCCGCGCTGTCCTAATGCATGTGAATTATGTGGATTAATTCTAAGTATTTTGTTGAAATCATCAAGCAATCCCTTATATCTTTCTTTCGTGCAATCAAGTTCTAGATATTTGTTTAAATCTGCGAATGAATTTTCATACATATTCATCATTAGATATGTCATCCCACGATTTTTTATTGCCTCTGTATCATTTGGTTCAAGTTCTAAATATCTACTTAAATCTGCCAGTGATTCTTCATATCTTCTGATCTTGTAATAAATCTTGCTGCGTAGTTCTAATGCAGCTGCTTCATTTGGTTTTATTTTAATTATTTCATTTAGGTCAACAAGTGATTTTTTATATTTTTTCTTTACAAAATAAATTGTCCCACGGATACTTAATGCTAATAAATCATTTGGTTCTATTTTAAGTAATATGTTTAAATCTATAAGCGATTCTTTGTACATTTTCAATATATAATATATTTCTCCACGTTGACTTAATGCAAATACATTATTTGATTCGATTTCTAGCAATTTATTTAAATAATCAAGAGATTTATTATAATCTTTTATATGATAATAAATTAATCCACACTGTCCTAATCCATCTACATTATTTGGATCAATCTCTAGTAATTTTTTGAAATCATTAAGTGACTCCTTGTATCTTTCCACCATGTAGTAGCATTCTCCACGATCACATAGGGCCATTGCATCATTTGGTGCATGTTCCAAATATTTATTTAAATCTTCAAGTGATTTTTCATACTCATTCATCTTCAGATATGCTAATCCACGATTTTTTAGTGCCTCTGTATCATTTGGTTCAAGCTCTAAATATTTATTAAAATCTTCCAGTGATTCTTTATATCTTTTAAGCTTGCAATAAATCATACCACGTAGGTTTAATGCTACTGCATCATCTGATTTTATTTCAAGTATATTATTTAAGTCAGAAAGCGATTTTTCATATTCATCCTTCATAAAGTAAATTCCTCCACGGATTTTTAATGCTAATCGATCATATGGGTCTATTTTAAGCAATTTAGATAAATCTATAAGTGATTCATTATACATTCTCAATTTACAATATATTTCTCCACGTTGACTTAATGCAAATACATTGTTTGGTTCAATTTCTAGTGATTTGCTAAAATCATAAAGTGACTCCTGATATCTTTCCATCCTGCGATAGCATTCTCCACGATTTATTAACGCATTTAAATAAGTCGAATTAATTTCTAGAGATTTACTTAAATCTTCCAGTGATTTTTTATAATTTTTCATATTACAATAAGTAATTCCTCGTAATCTTAATATCCACAAATTATCTGGTTGAATTTCTAAAGATTTATTTAAATCTGCTAATGAATCTTCATACCTTTCCATCATATAAAAAATTTCACCCCGTTGCTTTAATGCGCAAAGATTATTTGGATCAATTATTAAAGATGTATTTAGATCTTCAAGTGACTTTGTATAATCTTCCATTTTAAAATAAATTGTTCCACGTTGTATTATAGCCCATAAATTATTCGGATTGATTTTTAATAAATTATCAAAAAATTCTAATAATTCATTATATTCATCTGACCAATCGTTCATATTCAAAAGGTACCAAAAATAATAATCCGTTGTTTGCGTTAATATATTGAATTCAAGTTGTGGAAAATTTTTTGCTAATTCCTCGTATTTATCTTCTGTAAGGTTTGACAAAGTGTGTAGATTTAAAACAAATTTGCTAATTTGATTATTTTTATAAAAAATTTGTTCAAAGATTTGTTTTAATTGATTAAATTTTAACCGAAGATTCATATAACCATCAAAATATAGTTGGACTATAGAATTTTTAAGGTTATTAAATGGCATATTGGTAAAAAGGAGAAGTGCGTAATGTGGATTGATTTGAATGCCTAACCGTATTTCAAGTTTTTTTAACTGATTTTGAGTTTGAAGAATTAAAGCAAGTTGTTCTAATGTATAAAGTGGTGTTTTTAAATATTTAAGATTAATTGTGCTTTCGGCAACATTTTTGATAAGTTGAGTGCACTCAAGGAAACCATGATAATGCCAGTCAAAAATAATATTTTCAAGAGTTTTACCATTCATCTTGACAAGATTAGATAATATTTCAATAGGTGTTTGATTATCATGAATATCATAACTTCCATAAGTGTACTCTAAAGACGTCAAATTTGTGAAATTGGAAATAGTGGGAAGTAAGTTAAGCCCTTCACAGTTTTTAAACTTTAGTTCAATAATTTTTGTGCTTTGAATAAGTGAAAAAATATCTTCATTGTTTAACTGTAGTGTAGTAGATACTAATTTACTATTTCGTAAATTAATGTTTTGATTCATGTTTTTGAATGTTAAGCTATCAAGCGATTCTATTTGACTTTTAAGTGATTGAACAGGAAGTGAAACAAAATGATTACTATTTATTATAGAAAACTTTTTTAAGCATCTTTGAGAGCGTATAAGATTTGCGAGTGCAGCTCCTTCATTCTCAGACCATACTGTAGCTTTAAGATTTCTAATATTATGACAGATGTTTGCTAATGCATTAAAGATTTGAGTTTTCTCGACATACCAATGATATGCGCAATTTAAGTGTGACAATCTACTAAACATTGAAGAGTGTTCGAGATTTTTAAGAAGAATCACATAACTAAACGTTGAAGAGTATTCGAGATTTTGAAGAACTTCATAAATCATCGGATTATGAAAACTAAGATACAGGCGACTAAGGTCCAATTGGCGTAATTTTACCGGATACGTTGAAAGCATTTTAAATAATCCATGTATTAGTGTTTCAGAACAATTGTTTGCTATAGCTGAATTAAAAAATCGATCAAAGTGGAGTTCTTTGAGAAATGATGGATAATCATAAAGTGGTTTGTTAATTAAAGAATCATTATGAAATTTTTTTTCAATTGGTATGAATGTGAGATAAATTTGAATCACTTTAGGAAATTGTTTAGATTTATTATTAGTTTTAAAAGGAGATTCCCATAAAATTGGTATGGCACAATTAGCCCAATATCTATTGACTAAAATGCATGAATATAAATCTTTGTTTGAAGGAAGGTACCTAAAAATAATATTGAAACATTCTGGTGCAAACATTTGGTCTATGGTACCAGATTTAAGTTTGAAATCATTTTTCTCTTGATCGATTGAACTCATTTTCTTAAAATTATCATCAAATGCTCCAAAGAAAAAAAGAGAGATAAAGTACGTACGTATCTCAAAAAACTAAATACGTAATTTGTCGGAGTAATATACGTATGTACGTACGTACAGATGCACGATACACAGATTGTTCATTGAAGCTACCGTGTGAATATAAATGGTTCATTTGTGTCACGAATCCAACATCATTACTTTCAGGTGTGGTTACTACTGTAGTGATTATTAATTCTTTCCAATAGTAATAGTGTAACGGATGTTTCGATTTAAGATATACAAGGATTAGAGTAACTTTCTATTTTGAGCATAACAAAATACGAACGTACGTACGTTGTACAAATGAGAAGCGCCATAGGATCGTCAATCGAAATGGTCTGGAAAAAATCTGATAAATTCATTAGTATAACAGATCTAACAAATATAATAGATCCATAATATGTAGTTACCTGAGTTGTATCGAGTTATATCCCGACCTGAATTATATCCCCACTTTTTAACAATAAATTTCCTTTTTTTATATAGTTTATATACCAGTATTCCCATCTTAGTATATCTTGTCAGTTGTTGGGAGAGTGATAAGTGAGCAGCGCGGTTTAGCTTTGGGTGTTGCATAAGTTATGCGGGACGAATGTTTTATCAGGGATTCGGGTTTAACAATTGTTGGAAATTAAAGAAAGTATAATCATTAGAATGATTCATGTATTCAACCTCTTATTCTTCTAATACGATGATACTTTCCCATTTTAACAGATTACTTTTATATACGGTATTTACATCGATTCTTTTTCTACACCCGATTTAGTTATAGTGATTAAATTATTATGATAATGTATATTCCTATCGCTTGATTTCCCATGACACTGCACTCAATTTTAGTCATGTGATAAGGATCATAACGTTTTCAATTATTCAACATATTCAATATATTAAATTTTTTATTTAACTGACTATATATATGTACGGATTCGTGTCATTTCACCGTCAATTCACCGACAAATTTAGTTCACCCGAAAATTATTTTAACTCTACTGACTTTGGCGACAAAGACTAGAATTGCCTTGTCTGTGAAATAAACTCATATGTAAGGAAATTTTTAGTAGAGTGCTGTGACTATATAAAATCAGGCGATTAAACTCATAAAAACTGGTAACGGTTCAATTTTGATAAGTAATGGATCAATTTTGGATTATTCTGGTTTTTTTTTTAGCTAATCTGTTCGGTATACTGCTCATAAAACTGATAACGATAAGTAACTCATAAACTTACAGGAGCGACCGTCGATGTTACACGACTGGTTTTTCACGCGGTGTGAAACACATAAAAAAATTATTTTACAATACTTGATCGGACTTGATCAGTCAGTTAGTACATGTTATGATTATAATCCCACACCATTTTTTTATAATAAAAAATGGTGTGGGATTATAATCATAACATGTACTAACTGACTGATCAAGTCCGATCAAGTATTGTAAAATAATTTTTTTATGTGTTTCACACCGCGTGAAAAACCAGTCGTGTAACATCGACGGTCGCTCCTGTATCATAAACTAGGGTTGCATCGGTCCCACAAAAGTCCGGTCCCTGACCAGGACTGATGGGACCATAGATAGGATCGTTAGACCGGTCCCAGACGGGGTCCTTGTAAACACCTCCGTGATATTCATACCACCCAATCAAATTTCTTGATCAGATGTAGCACAGATCACATGATGTTTGTTTACATCCGGCGATTTGCAATTACGTCATTTTTAACCAATAAAATCTCAAGCATTTAGAAATGACTTATTTATAGAAGACCGTTTTGGGACCGGTCTGGACCAGACCAGACCGTAAATCACAATTCAATCGGTCCAATTAGACCGGACGGACTGGACTGGACCGATGTATCCCTATCATAAACAGTTTTACAATCACCGACAAATAATCACTTTTAATATTAGTAATCATACTGTATCATATATATTATTGACTCCCACCCATACGAAATTCTAAAAGCTACCCAGAAGTTACAGGATTATTGCCATCATTCTCATACAATATCCGTAGCAAAAGTATCCCATAACTTGCAAGAGGTATTTTAATTATTCAGATTGAATGACATTTCAAAATAACACATTAGTACGTACTGCTGTCGAAACCTGATATTTAGGATTAATTGATTTGTAACCGTAGGTTACTGTAACCGTAATTAAGATCAGGTGTAACATAATTATCAAAACAATTAT